TGTATGAAATAAAATAATTTTTATTTTCCCATGAAGCTAGCAGGCTCAAGTTTCAGCGACAGATTTGGAAGCTAGATATTTAAAAGACTGAACTGATGTTCAAAGTTGGGGAGCTTTGGATCAGAATTTAAATAATAGGTTGTATTAATTTTATTTGATTTGCCTGACACTGCACTAAATACTTTATATGCATTATTGCACTTAATCTTAGAATACCTTATGAGGTATTTACTTTTACTCCCATTTTACACTTGTGGAAATTAAAGCACACGGAGGTTAAGTATGAGTGCGGCCATTTATATTAAAAATAAGTTATTACAATAAAAGACATATTGCCATTAATCCTCCTCAAAATACTTCCTCTATCTTCAAACACACTTACCCCGTCATTCCTTCCACTTGCTGAAGCAGTTACAGAAGTCCTCTTCCGTGAGTGTCTTTGGCTGCACTGTTGTGGCTGCCTCCTTGTTCTGTATCCACTCAAAATATTTACCTTTAATGGTCGTTTTCGACTTTGGAAAGAGCCAGAAGTCCTATGGAGCCAGATCTGGTGAATAAGGTGGATGAGGACACATTGTAATGTTTTTATTTGGCAGAAATTTCCATAAACATTTGATCAATGAAGAATGACTAAAAATATGGTAAATATTTAAATTTAAAAATTTATTATAGACAATAAAAGGCACATTGCCATTAACCCCCTTCAAAATACTTTCTCTCATTTCAAACACACCTATCCTATTGTTCTTGACAATGGGTCTTCTACTGTAGTAAGTTTTATTTATTTTTATTTTTTTATTTTTTTATTTTTTGATTTTTTCACCAGTACTGGGAACCGAACTCACGACCTTGCGCTTGCCAGGCAGGCACTTTTGCCGCTGAGCTAAGTCCCCAGCCCCTGTAGTAAGTTTTAAAATTTAAACATTCACCATATATTTTGATCACCCCTTATAATTTGTCCAGAGTCACCCAGCTATGAGGTGGTTGAACTAAGATTTGAACCCACATAGTCTCTCTGCAGAGCTCTTATTTTAGATGATTAAATCTGTGTAAAAACTTTCCTGTAAAAACTGTGACTAAACTTTTCTGTAATGGAAAGTTTTGAAATCTCTTCCCTCTTCAATTTCGGACCATTCCTTGCCAGGATGGTTTACAGTGGCCATGGGAAGTAAGGGGCTACTTGTTAAAGAATCATCAGAGAATGAAGATATGAAGTTTAAAAATATTTATCAGGTCCCTTTACTTATGAGCCCACACCCCAAGTAACAACTTCTAGTTTCGGGGCTCCCCTATCAAAATTAAGGGGCTGAGCATCATGCCTTAAAAAAAAGCAAGGCTCCTCCAACTGGGGATGAGGTGATTCCCTGCAGCCCGAGGCAGCCTGATGTGTCTGTCTAAAATAAGGCAAACAATTCTTTATCACTTACGTGTGGCTTATACATGCCATGAATTATCTGCGGTCAAGGTTTTATCACAGTTGGTTTTCCTGTCACACTTTTCATTTTGATTGTCTTCTACAAGGAATGTAATACCATTTATATATTTACCTGAGTCAGATTTATAAAGGTTGCTTGGCTACAAAGTACATATCTCACAGTCAAGTAGATAGAAATTCTGGCTCCTACTCTTTCAGGTTTTTTTCTTTTCTTTTTTTTTTTTTTTTTTTTTTTTTTTTTTT